ACCCTGACAATTCTATGATTCTATGATACTGTATCAAAAAATAACTTACTTCCTCTCAGTCAAGATTATCACATTTTTTACTATTAAAACATGCCCCAAATCTGGACCCCGGCCAGCTTACCTGGCCAGTCAGCCTTTTTTATGGGTGGAAAGCCTCAGGTTCACCTCCATCCTTCAGCAGACTTCTAGCTGGATTAGGCCGGTGGTTGACCCAATATGGAAGAGATTCGCCACCAGCCTGCTGATTAGCACACTCCTGACACATGGGAGATGTGGGCCCAAGACCCCTAAGGCAGAAAGGGTTTTGAAGCCTTTATCCCAGGTCAGTGAGCTGTCTGGCCAGTGTGCTGCTGGGTAGAGCAGGATTGCAGGCGGCACTCTCTTCTGTGGAGTCACACCTGCTGAATCAGGTCACACAGACAGGCTGGCAGGGAGAATGCCTTGTGCATGAATCCCACGGGGTTTGGGGTTAAACAACTACCAAGCTGCTTAGAGTCGGCAGGTCAGGGACTGCTTTGTGCATGCAACAGAAAAGCAAACACCTGCAGAGTTAGCTCATGTGGAAGCCAGCTATGCCTAATTTTAGTACTTAGATGCTGTCAAAGATGTGCATATATTACCTTCGTGAATTCAGCTCTTTGACTGAAGCTAATTTCTCTTTGCTGTAGCGTTTGCATAAGGTTTTATGGGTCCTCCCTGTATGGATGTGTGTGAGTAAAGAGCAAGGGGAATCCGGTAATTTATATGAAATGTAGGTACACAGATCATGTTCTTGCATAAGTGTACCATTGCTTATTTCTACCATGACTTTCCATATTATTGATGATTCCTAGCACAATGGAGAGAGCACAAACATCAAATAAACACTGTCCTGAAGCTCATGAATACTGCATATGTATGTCTACATTCATGCATATGTACATACACAGAAAACACCCTTAATAGCATCACACTCACAATGTGCAGTAAAATCTTTTGTCTTCAGTTCAATACAGAGAGATTACTCTGTAACCTTATTGTCAAGGAAAAATAAACTGGCCCTAGGCACTAAGCCAGAAAACCACACACACACAAAACTGCTCCTACCAAATTCTTGGAGAGTAGCAGTAGGGCCTCCAGAATGCACACCTCCCCCAGACGATTTTGCTTCTTGAGACATCATCGATGAAGCACGCGATCCTCCTGCGATCCCGGAGGAAGTGAAACCAGCCTTTTGGACATTGTAGTCAGACATTTTCCCGTCTGACGATGTGGAATTGTGGAATCCACTGAAGCACTGTGAGGGTCAGCCAATCTTTTTATAGACTGTCTAGCTCACAGCGAAGAAATGAAACTACTACCATGACCAGAAAGAAAAGAAACTGAAACTGATCCTTATCCAGGAAATGAAACTGAACTTTGGAACATACTTTTTTGTTGCTGTTATCAGGATAAAGTTTAGGAAAAGGAACCGATTTCTTCTTGTGATACTAAAACAAATCAGTAGCACATCAATCACTGATTGGCTACCGATGTGGCTTTTTTGCTTCTTTATTCTTTTGCATCGCATTGTATTGTTCTGAAATGCACCTGCAGAAGATAGTCCGTCATTTTAAGAGTCGATACAGTTCTGAGCAAAGACAATAGATTAAAAAGCACCAAAATATTGGTCGTGTAAAAACTGCTGCTTGAGTGTAGAATTCTGCTTGAGTGTAGAATTCACCTGCAGTACATCTACCCCTGAAAATAACTGCTCTAACAGAGGGCTGGAAATCAGAACTCAGTTAACAATGGATGGTTGAAATTAATTGCTTTGTGGAAGGAAGTGTCAGGGAAGGAACTTGTGTCATATGAGCAGGTTGACACAAATGTTTTGTTCTTCCTCATGCAAATCCTGCTAAAGCAGAGCCTCCACCTTTAATGAACAGGCCTTTGTAAACGGCACACATGCTCCTATATTGCAGTATTTCTTAACCAGTAGTTTAAATAAGGCGGTTTAAAAATCCGTGGGCCTCCTTGCTTCGGTAAAGAGGAATATTTGGTTAGGTCACACCACCACAGGGACGGCCTTCAAAGCGGGGGGTACACATAACTAAGACTATAGCATTTTCATGGTTGTGTAACATCTGTCTAACATCTGATGGGTTGTGGAACAAAGGATACAAAGTCTGTTCATCTCTTATTCTGTCGCCTCTTTATCTGAGCAGTGGGATATGTGGCCTGTGTAACGAGGAGCAACGCTGGTTTTTTAACTCTTTCATTCAATTTTTCTTCAATTCATATATCTTAGTTTTCTTTAATTCTAATGTTTTGTGGTTTTATTTTCTACTCTGCTTATATTAGGACTTCTGTTATTATGACATCTTTATCCCTATGATTTCTCCAGTCTCTCATCTGTCATTTTGAATTACTTAATGTTATAAATATCTAAAATTGCTGTTTAAATGCAAGTTATATTCCATATAAAAATAGGAGAATTAATGTTATAGGCCTTCTTTAAAGTGACAACAAACCCCAAAATGTCACTTTCTTTGTACATATTGCTGCAGATCCTTCTTTCAGGACTGCTAAAACACTTCGGTGCTTTGTTAATATAATTTATTTATTACTCCAAACAGTGTTTCAGGAAATTATGATAAAGTCTGTCAAAGATACAGGAAATGAAGGTTTCATGAAACTGCAGAGACTATATGTGATGACCTTTTACTTAATCCTAAACCACAACTCATAATGGATACACACAGTTGCTCGACTAAAAATAGTTAAAATTAGATAAAAGTTTTATAGCAAACAAAGTGCCTCAGGGCAAATCATCAAATCCAACAGTCAACTTCAACCTCCTTTCAGGTAGTTGTAGAGAATGATAAGGTCTGCTCTCAGCCTCCTCTTTTCCAGGCTAAACAATCCTAGTTTTCTCAGCCGCTGCTCATAAGACTTGTTCTTCAGACCCTTGACCAGCTTTGTTGTCCTCCTCTGGACATGGTCCACCAACTCAATGTCCTTCTTGTAGTGAGGGGCCAAAAACTGAACACAGTATTTGGGGTGTGGCTTCACCAGTGCTGAGTACAGGGGGACAATCATGCCTTGCTGGCCACGCTATTTGTGACACAGGCCAGGATGCTGTTGGCCTTCTTGGTAACCTGGGCACACTCTTGGCTCAAGTTCAGTGTCAACGCTACAAACTTGACTGATTATTTGTACTTTTGGTTCAGCCTATCATCTCTGGGTCTGGTGTGCTCACCTTGCTTGGGGTGGTAGGACAGGACCTCACTGTGCCCTGGCAACACATGATATGACTAACATCGCAGCATCCAGTTTAAAAAGAGACAATGTCACTACTGAAGTAGTTGGGACAAGCACTCAATCCCTGAGCCCCCAGCTTCCAGAGGTCCTCTCCCTCCACTGAATCATTCACAAAGACATGCTTCTCCTCTCTCATCTGCCAGCTTTGTGGGAGATGTTTTCCTAAATGGTCCTCTACCTTTTTTTTTTTTTTTTAATTCCCTGCTTTGTTTTACTGGTATTTCTGATTAGAAACTGAAACTTCCAAGATGTTAGGCAAATGTAGTTGATGTCCATCTGAGTTTGCTGGGAACCCGACATGGTAGTACTAAGGCAGCTCTTAATCCTTGTGGACTGTTTGTCAAAAGTCCAGGCAGTCTGGACTGATACAACTTCTAGTTGAAGTATGGAAAGAAGGAGGAAACAACTAATTTGTATCACTGTGCCTGACATCATAACAGTAAATTGGATGTGGAAGAGTATCTGAGTAATTTCTCTGCTCCAGAAGCTAAAAATCTAAGAAGAGGAGATGGGTGGTGTGAGCTGACCTGAAAATCATCCAGTGGCGTTTTAAGCCTCAGAGAACTGAGAGTCAAAGCCATGAAGACCAAGAGTTATGACTGCCTTTATTTTCAGCTTCACTACAATTTCAGTAGCCTTAGGTGCTGAAGCATTTATACATGTAGTTAACATAGTTTGATGTTTAGCACTCTGAGTTTCAGGTTCAAATTAAACTCTAAAGTATCAAAAATCATACACTGTCTAGACTGCGTGCTCTTTGAAAAGAACTACAAAAACCAGAGGCTTGATTGGAAGAACTCTAAAAATTTGAGCTCCCTTCTTCAGTTTTAAAAAAAAAAAGCACACTAGCTGAAAATACCAGAACAACCAAAAAAACCAGATGTGCATGCAACTCTTCTATACTTTGCTCAAGAATGACCTTGCTCACTTGTATCTATGGGTATAAACTGATGTGTCTCTCTCGTAATTTCCTTGAAGTCATCACTAGTGTGCCACTTTGAGATATTTTCCACATGGTGAAGTTGGGCAGATGATTACAGATGTTAATCTCTGCATAGCCTGCTTTTGGTAGCCACTTTTTTCATTCCAATAACATGTCCATTGAAGTCACTTTTTCATAAACATTTTCCCATAAACCTCTGTTTCAAAAGAGATTATTCAAACAGCTTTTAAACAATTACTCTTTTGAAGGGTCTAATTGAAGGAAATAAACCTGTAGAGAATCTGACTGAATCAAAGATCCTCAGCATCCAAGATTATCTATCTGTCACCCTGTGACCTATTTCCTTCACACTACTTTTTAATTTTTGTAGCAATTATAGTGTATATGGATAATACCTATTAGCATATTTATGGTCATTGCTTCATATTTATTGTCTGCACAACTCATTAATCTTCATCTTGTGTGTGAGGCTGACAGCTCAATCTATTTTGCAATCTCTGGGCAGCAGCCATATCCAAAAAGCTTTTGTTTCCCTGTAAATAAACTGTGTTCAGGACCAGAGGACAATGGTACATCATGCAGTGATTGACACAAGCCATGGCTGCTAATCAAAAGTAGATTTTATTACCAGCTGAGTCAAGTGCATTATGGGGCCATTGTTCTAGTGCTGTCAGGGCAAGAGCATACGTAGTCAGTCACCTTCTCAAGATGGGCTGATTGTTCTCCAAGATTAGACAGAGTTGCCTTATTATCCATCCCAGACAACACGGCATCTCACCCAAACAGACGCCTTTACAGAAACTGCCTGTACATTGAATTGATTTGAATTGCTAATGCATAATCTGTCCAGCACAGATGTGCAATGAATATTTGGATGTTGTTTTGCATGTCAGTTGAGAAGGCTGAATGATGAGGTGATGATCGTTCAGTGATGGGTACTGGACATTTGCCAACAATTGAGTTTGAGCACTTTCCCTGACAGTAATCAGATCAGCTTCCAAAACGTCTTTTCTTCAATTCACTGACAATTTATGTTAGAAGATAATGCATCTCTCTCACAGTTAACACAGTTGGCAGCAATTTGCATTTTTTTCATATAATTAAATTTTTCGTTTCACCAAAGAAGAAATACATACAAGCTGCATATAACTGATATACATATTCCAAGACACTTCCAGAGTAATTCCACTTGAGTGAGAGGCCATCTAGATAAGTCAAAAATGCTGAAACTCTCCATAGTGCAGGTGGCACTAGTTATATTAGTTATAAAGCTACATTTGCCACTAAAAATTAGGAACGTCATTATCAAGCTGTATTAGGTAAACTTTCCAAAAAACCCCAATTAATGCAATAAGCATTTAACATATGATTACGGTCATGTTTTGAGAAGTTCAGCAAACATAATGTTCTGATCTAAAAATTTTCAGTCTCTGTCAGGACTGACATATATATAATAGGAACAGAAATCACCTCCATGGGATTTATACTAATGACATCAAGGGACTGATATGAGCTCATACAGTGACATCACCTGATTCACATGAATGTGGAAGAGTCATAATCATAGAATCCTGCAAAAATTTAGGTTGGAAGGAATCTCTGGAGATCATCTAGTCCAGCCAGAAACTTACCCTGTTAATTGCTCAGAGACACACTTGATGGAGTTCTAAGTATCTCCAAAGATGGAGAGTTCACATTCTCTCTGAGCAATTTGTATTTGGATAGTATTTTACAACCTTTGTAAGTGATTTTTCCCTCCTATATATCTAGTTAGAATTCTGCAACTTAGGTCTGTTGTCCCTTGTCCTTTCTCTGTACACCTCTGAGGAGATTCTCCATCTTCCTTAAATCTTTCATTATTTCAGATCTAAAGAGCACAGTTAAAACCCTGCCTTTAGTACATAAGTAGCTAAAGAACTATTGATAGCTTAAAAAATCAGAGGCTCGTGAACATTTCTGATGATGCTTAAAAAAATTACCTTCCAACTTTATTTAGGTGTGTTTCTAGT